TTGCAGCGGGGAAAGCTTTCTCTACAGAAAACAAAAAATCACCAAAAACCAAAAAGCAGTTAGTTCCTGCCTGTTCCACTTCTCCATTGTCTGACAAGCATTTTTAGATACTTTGCTGGTAGTAAATTGTATCTTCACAATTGTATCCAAAATATACTCATTTTAAAGATGAGAAAATTGATGACCAGGCTTTACAGCTTTCTCAACATGGGAATATTTAGCAGAGCCATAATTTGTACTAGAGTCTGCCCAGTTCCAAAACACCCTTAAATTAAATAAGTGATGATTTTATTGAACTATTACTATTATTATTATTTATTTCTCAATAGGCAATTGCAAACATAAGCATAGCAGAAGAAAACATACCCTAAGGCCATAAGCGGTGGGTAGAAATCACCTGCTTCATACCTGTCCCTCACCACGTACTCATGCAAACGATTACCACTCAAAACCAAAACAGACGCGACATCCATGTGCAGGAATGATAACCACAAATAAAACACTGCTATGATCCATCTCGGCCCTTTTATAGGTTAAAAATAAAGATAATGAATGTATACACAGTGAAGTCTCTAAGCGTCTGAGTTTCCCCATTTCAGGACCTTAGGCTGAACTTTGGATTCTTGAGGGATAATACCCCAGACCAGTAATTAAATTTTAATGATTTGTTCTGAGGGGTTCCTGGCTGCTGTTCCCCTCTCCTCTCCCCCGTGCATGAGCCTAAGGCCCTGGGGACTGGGCATGTGAGGTGGCGTGAGAGCCGCCAGGCTGCGGGCGCTTCCTCCCGGCCTCCAGCATCGCCCGAGCCCCCGCCCGGCCCCCTCCTCATCGCTGCCCTGGGGACCTTCTCCGTGTGCCCCTCCACCCGAGCTCTGTCACTTGACACTAGGCTCCATCTCTACACCTACCCTCGCCCAAGTCCCAGCTGCTCCCTTGAGAGGGCCAAGGTGGTATCTGCATTTTATTCTGTGCTGTTCCCCAGGTGGCGTCCCATGACCCACAGCCTGAGGAATAAAGATGGGAAAGAGGCTTTGGAAAAACTCTTCAGGTTCACATCAGCTGAAGTTTAAACTGACATACATTTTTTTAAATTAGTGCTCAAAGAAAATGAACTGCTTTTGGGGAAGGTTGGAACACTGGATTAAAAAAAATAAATTCTTTTTATATTCAAATGAATCCAATGAAAAAGATTTTGTGCATATTTGTTTGTTTTGCTTTAGTGGTCAGATTATAATCTATACTATAAAATATAGATTCTATTAATATAGCTTTTTTAAGTAGCATGGTTTAGGGTAAAATAGGAGTGTGTATATGACATCTGGGATCCCAAGGACTTAAATTTGACTTTAGTATCTCCCATCAGATTGACCCACATTTTTCCCTCGTGAATGTGAAGATGTTGTACCAATTTTGGAGCTTCGTGGAATACACCCCTACTCCTTATTGCCCAGGAGTTATGGAACTGTATAAATGAAAGAATATGGAATATTAAAAATATTGTGATGAAAAGATAGAGGGCAGCGATGTGCTATTTAATGAATGCAGATGAAAAGAAAGCTCAGAAACCTCAGTGCCAGTTCAAATGGTGAAGAGGCCACAACTATCTGTCCTAAAGTTTTAATTTAAATGCCTTCTATCCATGTGCTTGTTACAACAATAGCTCTAATCTTTCAATAACAAAGTTCTAACTCCTGAGGCTCAACCTACTCGTCTGTCATGTTTAACTAAAAACCATTAATTTGCAGTGCTGTCGCAAAGAGTATTGAAAAAATATATCCACTAAATCTTCCATGTAGTAAATGTGAAGCTGTAAGTTTTTTATTCTTAACCCAGTGAATTAAAAAAGACATTTGATCTGGAATAGAGTGTGGCTTCTGATTGTTGGTTGGTTTGTTTCAGCTTAGCTCCCCTTATTGTTATTTTGTTTGTGGGGAATATGTGTTGGTATGAAATGAGGGAGAGAATGGCAGGGTACCCATTCTCTTTTTCAGGATAATGCACTGTCCTAGCGACATATTTCTCCATGGATTTAGAAAGGTATTTTGTTGTTGTATTTTTATTTTTATTTTTTTGTAATCGAAACAATTCTTAAACATTTTGCCTAATATTAACTTGATGTACAAGACACAGAGTTTACAAAGATATTTTCTATGTACTCAATTAGAGCTTTATGAAAGACTATGGAGGGAATGCCTTACTAAAAATAAATATTTATAAAATCTTAAGTAAATTTCCAGCAGTTTAACTTTTCCAAATCTTTTCTCCACACAATAAATTGTGCCGAGCCTCAAAGTCTGTGTGCTGAAAACTACCCAATTCCTCTCTTCTCTTTCTAACACCTCACAAAGATCATCAAAAAGATAAATTTCATGAAAATCTAGTACTGCTGAGAAGCAAAATACAATATTGTGGGACATCAAACAACCCAATATTATAGGTCTAAAGTAGCTTAATAACAACAAAATAATATAAACAATTAAAGAGTGGCTTGATCACTGTTTCACTGTTTTGAGTATAACTTTTATTTACTTGAAATATTACAGTGTTTACCAACATGCCATGCAATGAGGGCTTTCTTCAAAAAGATAACATTCATCTCTGTGGCCTTATGGTCCGTGTTGCTTTCCAGAAGGCCTCTTTGACATCTTTGTTTCTCAGGCTATAGATGATAGGGTTGAGCAATGGGTTGACCACAGTGTAGAACAGGGCAGCCACTTTGTCTTTCTCCAGAGAGTAGGTGGAGCTTGGCCTTGAATACATGAAGAGCAAGGATCCATAGAAGAACATGACCGAGAGGAGGTGCGAAGCGCAGGTGGAGAAGGCCTTGCGCCGCCCAGAGGCCGAGCGGATCCTCAGAATAGCAAGAAGGATGTTGAAATAGGAAATCAGGATGGTGAGAATGCTGGAGAGGACTGTGAAGCCCACCACACCCAGGAGGACTTTTTCGTAGACCTGGGTGTCTGTACAAGACATTTTTACCAATGGTGGTGCATCACAGAAGAAGTGGTCAATGATATTTTTACCACAAAAACTCAGGCGGAAAGTGTTGGCAGTGTGGGCTATGGCGTTTAAGAATCCTCCTATGTAGGAGGCAGCAACCAGTCCAGCACACAGGGAGCTGGACATGGCGCTGGAATAAAGTAATGGGTTACAGATGGCCATGTGGCGGTCATACGCCATGGCGGCCAGGAGATAGCACTCCGTGTAGGCTACAACACAGGAGAAGAACAGCTGGGCTCCACACCCAGCCAAGGAAATGCGTTTATCCTCCGAGACACAACTGGCCAGGATTTGGGGAGTGTACACAGAGGTGTACCAAAAATCCAAAAAAGACAGATTGCCAATGAAGAAGTACATAGGTGTGTGCAGGCGGGAATCAATACGAATTAAGATAACCAGGGTCACGTTCCCTGACAAGGTTATTAAGTAGAGGATCAGAAACAGTACAAATAGAATTGGCTGCCACTGGGGGTTTGCCGACAAGCCCACCAAGACGAACTCAGTCAGGATGGTGAAGTTCCCCACTTTCATGTCCACAGAGAAGAAAGCCTGATGAAGACTCAGGGGGAAACTATTTAGTGATTTTTCTATCAAAAAAAAAATAAACAAAGATATCAATTAAGTCAGCAGTTACTAGGAAGCTTATGGACTTGTATCCATGACTCTTTATAATAATAGAACTTCAGTCTGTGACTTCAGAAGGCCACAGGAGCTAGTGTTAGAATATAATTTTGAAATTAAGGCTTTCACTTATTAATTGTTCAATGCCAGGCAAGTCCATCAGTCTCACCAAACAAGTGAGAAAAATGAAGCCCCCTGACAGGCTGTCTGATTGGGTAAAGAAGATATGCATGAAAACACCCAGCCCAATGTTGGGTACATAGTGAGCCCTCAAAATTTCAGTACCCTTCATATGTAGTTGAGAACTTAGTGTCATGCATTGTGCTGATTCTTATACAAATACCAATATACATACTACTTCTGCCACAATTAATACAAGCATATGTCTCACTACATTCCAGGTAGTATTCTAAGTCTCAGTCTTAACCCATTTAAGCCTTTCTACGAGTTTATAAGGTAAGTATTATAATGATCTTCATGGAAGTTAAGAGACAATGTCAAGGTCAGAGAGATGGTCAACAGCAGAGCTGGTATTTGAACCCAGAATTGTCTTTACCAAGAATATATGCTTTCGCCCAGCCGGGCGTGGCTCAGCGGTTGAGCATCGACCTAGGATCCAGGAGATCATGGCTCGATTCCCAGTCAGGGGACATGCCCGGGTTGCGGGCTGCAGCTGATCAATGATTCTCTCATAGTTGATGTTTCTCTCTCTCTCTCCCTCTCCCTTCCTCTCTCTGAAATCAATAAAGATGTAGTTTTTTAAAAAAAGAATATATGCTTTCAAATGTTAAGCTAGGTGTGTCTTTTATAGGTGAATTGTTTCTCTCCTGCTCTCCTAGTTAAGGAAATGCTATAACTCTCTGACAACCTGAATTTCTTTGCTTATTGAAAAGAGCTTTAAAGTTTCTTTTTTAAAGAATGATTTTCCCCACTTTCTCTTGTTGATGTTAGATTTATATACATAGTTGAGGTACTTTTTGATATAGTGAATACTGATCATTAGGAAGAAGCCAATTTTTGGTGTCAAGTATTCTTTGAAAACCATGAACCCTTTGATGTTTATATCTGAAAGCTTCAAAGCTCTCAGAGAGCAGCTAAAAGGAAGTACCAAATTAAAACATACAGAATTAGGGCTGATTCTCTGGTAGTTGGCAGACTTTATCCTAGCTAAGCAGGCATCGGGAGAAAGCCAAACCAAATAGTGTGGTGAAGGCCTGTGGCAGGGTTGGGTGCAGGCTAGAAGGGGTCAGTGGGGAAAAAAGGGGGGCATCTATAATTCTTTCAACAATAAAGATAATTTTTTTTAAAAAGAGCCTTGTGATTTAGTTTGCTGCTAAAAACATTTACCATTGAGCTAAACCAGATGAGTTTGAACTAGAATGCAAATGCAAGTTTTCTACCTCAAGGTCTACTGTTCCTGCCTGTTAGGAAGTGAGGTGTCTTAATCTTGAAATATCAGGTGTCCTAATCTTTCAGGTAGAGCCAATGATGTTCAAAGATGACTTGATTGTTGACACCGTGGCTCAGCTTGGAATCATGAAGATCATTTTATTTCTCTAACTATTAGTATAAGTGGATCTCTTCTCATTAACACACAAAGGACAGATGTTTTCATCCTACACCCAGTGTCCCATAAACCAGCTTTAACTTACTTTTATAAATCTCTCTCTCACTGNAACACACAAAGGACAGATGTTTTCATCCTACACCCAGTGTCCCATAAACCGGCTTTAACTTTCATAAATCTCTCTCTCACTTCTTGTCTTCATCCACTTAGGACTTAGACCAAACTAAATTGCTCCTAAATTGCTCACATGATTGATTTCCTAAAAATAATCTCACACATCCTGAGAGTTTCATATTTTTACTACTAAGCTGGTGTTCATTTGTATACTATGTATATTNCTCACATGATTGATTTCCTAAAAATAATCTCACACATCCTGAGAGTTTCACATTTGTACTACTATACTGGTGTTCATTTGTATACTATGTATATTTTTTTCTTAATCTGCTCAAGCTTGAGTAGAATTATCTTGGCAGGAATTTATGGTATTATATTTATAATGTATAAAATGGTGGGTTTTCCACCATTTCAATAGTTAATATTAACCCTCTCTGCTGTCTTATCACTTGTCTACACAATGAAAATATCACCTATTCTCATGCAATTCGACAAAGGAGTGGGTGGCTAGGAAATGCAAAGTTCATTGCCTTGGACCAAGGAGTCCAGTGATGGGGACAGAGCCTGTCGCTATCTATCACCTGTGTGATTTTAAGTCACCTGTCATCTCTGGAACACAGATTCACCCACATGAAAAATTTGTTGATTCTCTTAAGAACCCACCTTCTATGATTCCAATTTGTTAATGTTCTTTAGAATTCATCATAAAAATAAGAACAGGTGACCTTCCTCTTCAACAATACAGGTGGTAGAACCATTTAACAAACCTTATATATACACTTATCTTCGGATGCACAGGGCATTAGCATCATGTTTGTTGAAATGAGAGATGAAGTTTACCAAAGACAACAGCATTCTTTTTTTTACTCTAAGATATGCATACTCTTTATTGTTTTCCTAAAAATCAATCCTGTGACCTAGCTTGTTTATATTCTCTAACTACTGTGCTCTTTAGTTTTCTTATCCAAGAATTTCACAGCTCTTAAATTTTTGGAATCAAATCATGGACATCTTTGAGAACCAGACAAAAGCAATGATGCTTCTTGCCCAGTATCCAAAACTGCTTATATATAAGGATAAACAAACAGAATTTTAGAGGGTTGACAAATTCCCAGAAATCTACCCATGGATTAGGGGGTTATAATTCTTAATTACAAATTCTGCACTAGCCCAGTTGGTGTGGCTCAGTGGCTGAGCATTGACCTAGGAGCCAAGAGATCACGGTTCCATTCCCGGTCAGGGCACATGCCCGGGTTGCGGGCTCGATCCCCAGTGGGGGACGTGCAGGAGGCAGCCGATCAATGACTCTCTCATCATTGACATTTCTATCTCTCTCTCTCTCCCTCTACCTTCCTCTCTCTAAAATCAATCAAAAATTAATTAATTAAAAATTATGCACTAAAATATGCCTCAGTTTCTCTTCAGTGCTAACAGCATATAATGTTAAGAGTAATAAATGCTTCAAACTTTGCATGTTTAAAGCTGTATTCCTAATCTTCACTCCCAAGAATTTATCTGTCTGCTCATTTTTCATATCATTTAATAAATTCTACTCTTCCAGTATCTCAAATCACAAATGACGAATCAGCCTACTCTTTCTCTCTTACCTCCTCTCAGTCTTCCAAGAAATCCTTGTGTCCCTACATTCAAAACGTATCCTGAATCTGAGCAGTTCTTATCACCTCTTCTGCCACCGCCCTGGTCCAAACCACCACCATGTTTTGCCCAAAATATTTCAATATTCCTCTAATGCCTGCACACTTGTCTCTCTACAGTCTATTTTCAACAGATCAGTTAGTACTATCCATTTTTAAAATGGCAGTTGGTGACCCTTTTGTACTTAAAACAACCTTAACATGCAACAAATTTATTCTGTTAAAGCCAAATTCCCATACAATGACCTAAAAGTCCTCCATGAACAGACCCTCCATTACCTGCAGGTCTTTATCCCCTAAGATTCCCTGTATTTTAAATAACACGCCGGCTTCTCATCAACAGACCTCATCCTTCACATTCTGTTAAGACTCAGTTCCATTTCCCCAAGACTTACATTCCTCTTCCAGTTCCTGTTTGTTAAGGTTATCGTCTGTTTTCTCCCCACTAGACTGCAACAAAATGGGTTAGTAAGATTTCTCCGTTTTTGTTTACTGCTGTATCCCAGCATATAGAAGTTCCTAGAAACTAATTAGCACTTAAATAGTCCTAGAGTGAATAAGTGGGTAATTATCTTTACGTCTTGAAGCTGTTTTTCCTTTCAGTATTGAGTAGAAGTATTGTCTACTTCTAACCTAGCTCAAATTAATCGGGACAAACTCACTCTCACATGGTCTTCCCAGGCTCAGTGAACTATTTCACTAAAAGGAATGAAGGGTAAATAAAGCGAGGACTCATATCCATCAAACCCATAACCATCAAGCTGGCCTAAAATCCACCTTGGATTTGAAATTAAATGTGAATGTGAAATAAATAAAAGTCAGAGCCAATCATGCCAAAGCATCCCATGTAGAACTGCTTCTCAAATTTTGTGTTTCCCCATAGAAACTCTGTTCCCTGACCCCTTCACTGGGGCAGTAAAAATTCTGTGGAAGATATTGTCCCTCTAGCACCTGAAAATGAGAACCAAGATGTGAAAGTCTGCTCTAGTAGTCTGGGCAGCTCAGAGTGCCGCAGTCCCTGGAGTCTAAAAGCAGGCCACGTTTTCTATCCTAGTATTTGCCCCTTTGTGTAAGTGAATATAAGATAACTCGGCATAACTACCAGACTAAATTTTGAGTTCCAAATAGAACTACATATATTATTGGTGGAATCCTATTTAGAGATTGCGTGTCTATTTGTGTCTGTGTGTGGTTGGCATAACGATCTTTTGAGAGCCATGCCAGACTCTGTACCCCTCTTCTAATGACAGCTGAGGCCACAGAGAGTCCAAACCACTTGGCTGCCCCGATCCCAGCTGCTTACCCTCGAGCAGGAAGGACACTCCTGGAAGTGATGCTCCCTTGCCTCTCCTCTGATATTCTAGCATGCTTTTTTTGGACCTGATCTATGTATTTCCTTAACAGTCCTTTGGGACTCCTTCTATCCAGTACCTCAGAAATATTTATCTCAGTCTCCAAAGATTTAATTAGAGTTTATTTGGAGTATGAGGATGATATATTAATTTGCACATGATGAAATGAGGAGTATTTTATTAAAAGTTTACTCTCTTAATGGCTCTGAGTCACAATATAATTGTAATGTGTGTG